TCATTTTTTGGAGAATGCTCGAACTAAATTATTGTTTAGTGAAAAGAAAAAAAAAAGAAAAAAAAGAAAAAGAAAAAAGGAACAGATGCGAAAATACGAAACAAAGGGGAAGAATCATCATAACATACGCTCGAATCAATTCGAAGGAAGTGATAAGAAGTATACGAGGCTCGACGTCTGCCAATTGCAATGTTACGTCGTCGTAAACGTAGACTTTACTACTTGGAGAGCCTTTTGTGATCGAGGATCAATGGCTCGTCTATTTGTCATCAGTTGACTTTATGCTACGAGTCGTTGAAATCTCCTAGATATAATATTGCACTGCAGATATAATAATACTGAATACTACAGATACTAAAGCGATTCTAAGTGCATCACTTACGATGCAATAGCTTGCGGAATCCTTTCTAAAACATTTTTATAAACATATGCACTATATGTACGAGTATAATTATATAGTTTTATAAATATAATTTAAAAAAGTGGAACCTGGATAGAGAATTATCCATTAAATATTGGAAAAGATATTATTGGATTATTTGAGTATTTTATATACTTTCGCATATGAGATTTTTGCATTTAATTTTTCTTTTACTACCAAAGGTAAGTATCGAATATTTATTAAGAAGATATTATATATTTAGGAAAAAGATAATGAAGTACGAATATCATAAACGTATAATTCGTGATAAAGATGGTTTAATTCAATATCGTGACTTTCTGACAAAAGGAATGTATACGAATATTTTAACTATCTTGCAAATTTTACCAATACAGTTATGACAATCGTATTTCGCTACATGAATTAATACGCGTAGGGCATATAACGTTACAATAGTAGTAGCCTTGGTGCATAATAATATAGCAGTGCATAATATATATATATATAATGTTCAAATACTTTTGCGAGGCATTTTGAAATTTCCGAAAATCGAACGAAATTCTACACGAGCATGGCCAAAGAAACTAATACCAACATATCTGACCTCTTTTTAAATACTCTCGTGAATTATTTGCATTTTCATAATTAACAGAGATAATTAAAAGATTTCTTGTCTTTTTGTATGCACGTGTACAAATGTAAAACGTTTGGAAAAGACGAGGCAAACACTCTCAAGTTTCATTTGCTTTGAAATTTTCCTTTTCTTATATCGAAGCGTTGCATAATTTCGAGACAACGAACCATTAAATAAAGTCTGCTTTCTCTACCCAACGATTCAAAGTCTCTCCCGCGGGAAAGCTTTGAGACATGAATTTCGGACACGCTAAAATACTGAATAAACAAGCGTAAAAAATGTAACACACATTATAAAATAAATGCTTTCAACAATTAGCGTTTGAACGTTTTGTTTTGTAGACTAACTTTTGCGTTAAAGTCTGTCGCGTAATTTCATTCGGTGCTGGACAAAGAATAAAAAATTGAAAAACACGACGCTGAAGCTGCAAAAACAGTAGATAATTTCTAACTTTTCAGTGATACGACAATATTTTGTTGTTTCGCGTTCAAGTTCGTATGCATGACATATGAAACACGTACCTCAAATAGAAACTATTTGCATCGTGCAAATATTAAATCTACAATGTTACACCGTGCACTGACAAACTGATCAATTGCAAACGTAACAGTTTGCCTGAAATTGCGCTAGCAATACACCTTGACAGTGTACATGTATAATATGCAGATGCAATTTCTTTTGATAGTGCCTTGAACCAGGTATCTTTTGTTCTAGAACGACGAATGAACTGCCGGTATTAAACTTTGAATTGTAAATGAAATAGTTAAACGCAAGTGCACAAAGCTGATTATATTCCTCTCTCCGTGTTCCTTTGTCCTACAGAGTTCATATTTATACGATTAAACTTACTTTTTACGCGTCATCTGCGGTTGTTGCTGGCAACGAATCCGATTTTCGAGAAATTCGTCAGTATTAATTAAATTCTACGGAGGAGAAAGCCACTCCAGTAGACCATGATGTTTTTTCATGAGGGCTACGAAGAGAATGTAGCGTTTTGTAACTACTTCGATCAGTTTTTAGTTACAAAGCACGAAGTTGAAAATTTCTAACTGGAGACCCATTCCTTATTAGAATGCTCGTTCATTCGGAAAATCGTGAAGTGATAAGTAAAGGGAATTTGAAACAAATGACAAGGAAACGTGAGGAGGCTCAAAGAATATGCAAAAGGGGGGAAAAGTAACCATCAGTGTGCCGCGAATCCATATTTTCACGAATACAATCAAAGAAATCGAACCTAAATGTTCCGAATAATTTTCGTATATTGTATACGTTCGTATAGAGAAAGAAGAGTAAACAACCTTGCAAAATATTTTCGTAGAAATTACATCGAAGCACAACTGGAGAAGGGAAACTCGGAAAACAATTTTATTTCTATTAAATTTCTAATTCTTGATTTTTACCACTTTGTTCGAAATAATTCACGCAGTGATGCATCGTTTCTGCGTCCTCGGGTAAAAAAATCTGCAAGCCAGTGACAGTAGAAGCTACATAGCACTGCTGAAAGCAGTTATTTTCGCGTGGTAATAGGGAACGAAACGCTGATTCCAACATGCATATTTACGCTGTCGTCGGTGTTCTTAAGTAGCTGTCGGAAAATGTTACGCTGCTGCGACATTAACATTTGACATATTGGTCGAGGCTCAGCCTTTATTCCGAAAGTTGGGAGATGAACCCCTGCCTGGGATCGATAGTTCGAAACTACTGATCGTTCAGTTATGTTAAAGTTCGCCGAGTATATAATGGAATTTCAATTGTAAACTGTTACAAAATTTACAATTAATTAGAAGAGAACACGAGCCACGATCCCATTGCGACTTCAAACCTATCGAACAGCACACAGAAAACAATTACGCGACCCACGATTGTAAACTGCGAGAGAAATCGGACTTTGTCCGATCAGTTTGATCGAAAGAAAGCACCGATGATCAAAGGGAACACCTAACGAACTACCAGTGTCAGTTGGTTAATGCGTTTTAATAGTTCTTGATAGTATTCGATGACTAAATAATTAGTTGAACAATAATTGCAAATTAGAGAAAAATAACAAATACTGCGTGTAATATATAATAATGATGTGTTGACTAATGAACACTAATTGTCTTATCACTATCAAGAATCTCGTGTTTCGTTTTTTTCGAAAGCGGATAATATCGAAATGCACTAGTGAAATTAATAACTCAATAAACAAATCACTGCGGGAATTAATTGAATTTTGACTACGTCACTTAACATTTGGCTGAATAATACTTACAATAATTAGAGAAAAGTAAGTTTCGGTAATTAATAATAATTAGTGTGTAAGATACATGATAATAATGATGTTTTGTTAATCATCTTATTGCTGTCAAGATTTTTATATTCAATCTTTTGGAAAGCAAATATAGGTTGACGAATAATATTGAAACGTACTAATGAAATTAATAACTCGATAAACAAACCACTGAGGGAATTAATTGAATTTTGCCCGTGACTACATCGCTTAACATTCCTCTTGTATTTACTGTACAAAATATATAGATCGAGTAACAAATTGAGCCGTGTAAAAGATATTACTTGTTAACTTTTTCAATTTGGTTCGCTCACCTGGTGAGCCGTTATTTCGTCATTTTGTTTAACGAAACATTAGCGGAACCATAGTGATACTGCTACTGAAACGTGAACGTTACACTCGAATGAGTCCACGTCATGCAAAATATCGATATCAAAGCGAGTTTAAATTATGAAGCAGCCGCGTTATCGATTAAATATCGATTACTTATTTGATAAAATTTCAATTAGTTTAATCCTCGATCGCGCTTGTTAACGTTGATAACGTTGAATCATCGCGATTATTTAAGTGCCACGATAAAGTTTTCCGCTCAACGTATACAGTTGAGGCTAATAAACTCAAAGTTACGGCCGCAAAGTGAAAGAAGAAACGAGGCTAGAAGAGGAGAGAAAAATAGTTGGAATATGATTAAATCGTGACCGAGGAGTTCTAACACTTAAAATGCGTCAAGTTGAAACCATCAGTGTTCGTTCAGAAGTCGAAATAATCATTAGCTTGTAATTATTCGAACACATATTGCAAGTTAGCGTTGATTGATTCTGATTATTCTGAAATACACAACGATTTTCAACCAGAAAGAGAAATACCAAACGAAGAGGAAAGAGACGCGGAATTATCATTTTTACGGAATCTTGTCGAGAAGGTGCTCGTTAACGAAAAAAAAAAAAAAACCAACGAACTTTGTGGTAAACGTTATTGCCCGTCGCGAGCGTTATCGACGAGCTTGTTCAGTTTCAAAGTCAGCGGCACGTTCTCGCGAAAGCTTTGAAAATTGAAAATGAAAAGAGAGAATGCGACAGCCAAAGGCGTGCTCCTGGAATTAATTAACAGTTACGTCGGCGAACGCCGCGAGGTGAATGATCCTTAAAGAAAAGAAAAAAAAAAAAAAGAAAGGAAACGATCCGATCCGAATATTTTTCATCCGGTGTACACTCGGTCGAGTTTCGATTGATTAAGACACAGGCAGTCGTCTGGACAACGAGATTAATTTTCGCGGTACAATACCTCGGAAACTTGTTGGAAGAAAAAGGAAAAGGCGGAAAGGCCTGTGCACGTCTACCGAACTGTACGAAATACGAAACTGTTGTGGGTACGAGCGAAGAGGGAACGTGTCCAGTTTCGTTGGTCGAGCGGTAAACGAGAAAAGGGAAGGAATAATTCTCCCCTTTCGAGTCATTCTTTCTCTTCGGCGAAACAGTAAAAGCGACGAATGATACGCGTGTTGCGTCCGCGTCTTTTCATCGCCAGAGACTGATCCGTCGCGTCGTTGTCGGACACGAATTCCATGGGAACGATGCTACTCTTAGCGGGACGAAACTTTCATAGAGATCACTAAAATCACTAAAAAAAAAAAAAAAGGCGAAAGGACGAGACTAACAGGCAACTACTAGCAAAATACGGAATAAGTGAATATTTCTTTCGAACGTGAAACGTACGTTGATCGTGCAGGATGCCGACGTCGCTGGTGACGTTGAACGACGCTGTCCTGTCTGATCGTCGAAGAAAGTCGGAGAGAAGGGAGGGAAAGCTGCTCTTTTTTTTTTTCTTTCTCAACACGGCGTGCTATCTTCCTCTTTCTCTATCTATTCCTCCTTTTCTCTCCCACGATTTCTCCACTTCTCGCACTCCACACTCTTCGCCTGTCGCTTTGCTCTTTGATGCCGCGCGCGCGAGTCACGGTATGCTCACGCTCTATTCCTCTCTTCTTACCCTTAACGCGCTCCCTCTCTCTCTCTCTCTCTCTCTTTATTTCTCTCAATCTCTCTCTCTCTCTCTCTGTTTCTCTTCCACCCTCCCTGTCACTCTCTCTCTCTCTCTCTCTCTCTTCTCTCTCGCTCGCTCGTTCGCTCGTTCGCCTTATCGTTCGCTCTTTGTCACTGATACGCGAGAGGCAACATAGCGACAACGTCGTCCACGAAAGGGTTCCGGGGAGGTAGGGAAAAAAGCAACGAAACGAAGAACGCGACACCGGTACCACGGGGTGGACTGAAGTTCCTACGAGCGCCGGTCAGATTCTTATAGCCTGGCGTCGGGGCGCAGGCGCTGATCGAGCTTCTCGCCGCCTAGGGATGGGCCGGTACGTTTCGAAAAGAGGTGTTGATCCTCTTCTGTCGACCGATCGACTTTTCATCGGAGGATGAACCACGAAAACAGCTTGCCACGAGAACCTTTCTTCTTTACACTTCGGATACTTTTCCTGTCATTTTCCCCTTGGACAGCCGCTCGCCCGCGGAGCCAGAGTTCAACCCTGGCGAGACCGTCGATATCCAGCGATGCTCTCGGTTTCTCTCGCATTGCGTCGAATGTTATTGCAGAAATTGCAACCCGTCCGTCTCCGTCGTTCGTCCGCGTACCCACCGCCGAATATGTTTGTCACCGTCTAACATCGATGAATCAAGCGTACCGAATCGATATGGACGTTGCCTTGCCGCAACGTGTTCGGAAAATGTTGGGAAACGTGATCGTTTCGAAGGAGATATTCCAGGATAATGTACGACTAAAAGCACAGAGACCGACGCGAGAGAGAACGTGGAGATTCGATTTTCGTTTTAATTTTATATACGACATTATCCTTCTCTCTTTTTTTTTTTTTTTTTGGCAACGTTATTTGATTTGAAGCGATTTTTAATTCGAATCGGTGAAAGGGGGTTGCAAAGCACTTATCGTCCTTCAGCTTTTTGGATTATTTCAAAACGCTAGATTAACGAGTAGTTTCCTTTTTTACTTTATACCAAATGAATTATCAGCGATGATTATAACGAGATATCTTTTACGTATCAGCTATGTATTTACTGTGACGTGCAAAAGTTTTTAATCCGATCAATTTTTCACTTTACACTTCAAAAGAGATATTTAAATGAATTTTAATTGATACTGGATGTAGAGAGCGTAAAAGGAAACACTACAGGAAATGAATAATTAAAGATAAAATTATTTTAAATATTGATTTTTGAATACAAAGTGAAAAATCCATTTGATCAAAAGCTTTTATCCACTACTATAGCTTTTTGTACTTTTTCAATAATTAGTCATACGAATGTCATATGAATTTCAAATAGAACGAAGTAAATCATTGTCATTATTAATAACGAAGTAAATGTTAAAGCACGTAAAATTATGAATGGTGCGTTTACGGACATTGAACTTATTTTTTCTATAAAAATTTTATGAGAATGTTTATATAAACTTCTGCATTTCGCTTATGATAATAATTGCGCGTTCTTTTCTAATATTGTCTACTTTTAATTAAAACAAGCAAAGAATTGCTTCCGTATTCTAACGAATTTCGGAATTTTTGTGCTCGATGTAAATAATTGTGCTCCCAGAAATTTAACCCTCTCTAACATCGTGAAACTCATAGTGTACGTTTATTCATTGAAATTCTAAAAATTTTATTTTTGCAGCTTGTTTCATTTAATCGATGCGATAGAAAATTATCAATTCACAATAATTATTAGTTCCCAGTTCTTAAGTAAACGAAATTCTAATATTGCCAAATTAAAAGTTAAAGTGGAATCTCTGATAAAAAAAAATTTAATCACGCACGACATAGGTATTATATTAAAAATATAAAATAGAGTTTTCAATGAAAACTGGTGGTTAATAGAGTGTACTTTCTTTTGTAAGAAAACTGCTGGTTTACCAAGGCGATTCATTTTCTGGTTTTATTGTAAGTGCTCTTACTCACAGTCATTTCGGAATGAACAGAAGGTACTCTTGTCTTTTTTACCCGGCGACAAATCCTCCAGGAACAATGTCCTCCATTTTTTAGAGTAACGCAACATCAAGTTACTTGCCACCTATAAATTCTTTCGCACATTTTCCAAACAATCGATCTTACGACATTGGTTATCAGTCACTCCTGATTATCTGGATTACGAACGTTCCTTATTTTCACGCGCAGGCTAAATTTTAGGTCGTAAATCGTACACGTAAGCGAAATGAAGCTAATTGCATTCTGCGATCCTTAAATGCGTCGTTTATAATGTAAAATCAAAAAGTTTGGAACTTGGATTGAATTATATCAATTCCAATCAAAATTTGAATATGCAAAAATGTACGGAGCACAAGTAACTGTATTCGTTGTGTGATTTCTAATGATTTAAATTTCTATTTAAGATTTATTTCGTTAATCCTGTTAATCACGAAGACATAAAAATCTATAGTTTAACGAGGACGAATAACGATATTAGTAAATCAATGCAATATTTACCAACGTCAGAACTACTTTCCCTTTGATTTCTTATAATACACCGAGAACAAAATATTAAAATCTCCAAACAGAAGATAAAATTTAAGCAAACAGTAGAAAACAGTAGAATAACAAAAACGATAAATTTTAAACAATAAGTATTCATGTTGCGAGACAGATAGTCGATACGAAAAAAACGCGACATCACTTTTAATTAGAAGAACAAAGTACAGAGAATAAGATTAATGCTTTCTCTCTTGCTTAGTTCGACGTTAAACATAATTATTATAAATGTTTAACACGTGAGAGAAATAATTATTACTTATAACCATTTACTTATAACCGTATCACATAGTATTAAATATGTACTGTAATATTAAATATATAATACCACTTTTATAATATTAAATATGTACTGTAATATTAAATATGTAATACCACTTTTCAACGAAGTGTAAAATGGAGTGAGCATTCATGCTGCAATAGAAGAATACTGTAAATGTTAGCGATTGTGTAGAAGATTGATGATCGACCGTACAGATTCTTTCATCGAATAATGTTCTCCTTCCCTCGAATCTTATGATCTTCAATGGATTAACTATTATCAATTTTTCATCCTCAAATTTAGGAGACAGGTTTTTCTAAAAAAATATTTTCAAATAAAGACAGAGAAAAATGGGACGCGGAATCGGTTTTTGTAGATTACGAATATAACTTTTTTTCCAGTAGGTGAGAGGAATTTCTAGTTTCTTCTGGTTTCTTTCCCAAAGAAAAGTATTTCCGTTTTAACTAAATTTTTATAAAAAAAACTTACAACTAGAAGTAACTTGAACGAATAATAAAATAAATTTTCATGTTAGAATGATTACGCAACAAATATAAAAATGACAAATTATATAGTTTGCAATATTGCATTCAGTTGTAAACGAAAGCTTTTATTTGTATTTTTTATGTTGCTAATAAAAATTCGGAGAATTTAGTGAATTTAAATTGCTATTTTTCGTGGTTACAATTCCCGAGCAGCCTCATAATTTCTCAAAATATAGTTCTTTTAGCCATTAAAAGTCAGTCTTTTGAATCGTGCATCATTTTATCGGTAATTAGTTATCTCCGGGGTAGATTTAATTCCATTTTATAATTCGTACTCAGTTTTAAAATTAGCATGCTAATGTTCTTCTAAAAAAATTTGGCTAAATCAATTCAAATTTACTATTTTATATTCAAAAATTACTAAACATTCTTGAATTTCAAATGAGCAAAAATATCTTATAATCTGACATACAGATAATATCTGGCGCTTAATAAATAAATGAATAATACAGAATTGTATGATGCTATTCATTGTGTAATCTCATTTTGATTAAAGTTTTGATTAAAGTTAAAATGAAATGAATGAAAATACTTTCTACCTTGAATTGGAATTCTATCGTCAATTTTCCATCTTTTCTTCTTTTATTTAATACAGGAAGAATAACTCTCGAACAACGGTGAAAAATATCAGACGAATGAGAACATATAAATTTCTCGACTAAAAATTTCTCGTATTATATTCGGTATACAAGATGCAGTAAATCATATTAGAACATTGTATCCATTTCGTTAATTAACGATACTTGTTTGAATGGTCAAAGTTACTACGAATAAATGTTTTTACCAACAATTCAACTAGTATTAAATGCCGGTACGCTGCAGCATCCGATATCATTAAGAGCGCTTCACTATCTAGAATCTAGATGAAGATTTACACTTCAGCATACTATCATTGTTGAGAAGATCATGTACTTGTATCTTATTGTTTTCTTTTTCTACGTTATCATAGCGCTTCGTATTGACAAGTACCTACATTTCAATATCTTACTCATATTTCTTTGAATTTTAATTACAAATTTTATCATTGAATTAAACCCGTTTCTTATTCAAACAATTTCCCATAGAAACTAACTCTTGACACTTAATTGTATTTGTGCTTTTAGGCTTGCAGAAAATCTACGAAAGTTCTGGAATACTTCATTGTTCATGTTTCTACAACAGCAATTATGCAGTAAATTTCTATGTCAAATGTTTAGATGTTTCTTCAAGAAAGGTAAAAATAAAATACATGAAATATAATTCTGCCCTCTATTTTATAAACTGTGTACTAGCGGATGTTGGCGTAAAATATCTTCTACGTACTAACAATAAGAAAAATTATGCACACACGAAAGACAATTCTTTAAGAATGATGTGTCGCGTCCAAGTGACCTTAACTATTTATGTTACTATCTACGTGACTCAAGAACACCTTGTCATCTTTATCCTCCGGGCAACTAATAGCCTCGATTCTCGAAATGTCTTTTTACCTGACCGGGCTACCTTTTTTTTTTTTTTTTTTGTATATAGTTCAAGAGTACTCGTAAAAGATTATATCTCCTGAAACAACTGCGTTGCATTGTTACTTGTACTGTTAAAAGTAATTTCACGATAATCATAGTTATTAAAGTTATGCACGTATGTTATTTTAAATATCAGTCATATAACAAATGTATAATACAATTTTTAATTTTAATTGTAAAACCAGAATCATTACGCTGTACAACAATAAAGCAAGATATTGTTGTACGATAATATCATAATTAAAAAATGAGTAAAAGTAAAATATTTCTTAACAAAGTTGAAATTCTTTAAGAATAAAACTGCATGTATTTTCGTGTGAAGTATTACGTTTGCTGCAAGTATGTATGTTTCATTTTTCAAAATATGAGATAAGAATAACACACGTACATTAAAATTAATTAATCGATATTAGTAATTACTCTTCTAAATATATTATACCGTTTATATTTAATATAATGCGCATCAGATGTCGCTTTGGCACACGTGCGAACTATAAGCCCTATCTAGACTTAATGAGTAAACCTTATGTTAACTGTTATGTCCCATAGGAAACAAGGCGCTGACCGCGAAATGTGAAATGCATTTATACTTAAATGAGCACGAACGTCGTGGAAATCTTATTTTGCTAGTGTTAGAATATTCAAGATAATAATGAGTTGGGAAATCAGCTGTGCCGATATGTGTCGAGCTTGTATGAAAGTTGACGGCGTTCTTCTCCCTATGTATGACGACGACACGATTAGTCAGAAAAATTTGCCCGATAAGCTCGCAGAACTTGCATCGATACAGGTTATATTTCTTTCTTTTTTAATTCATTAAATACTTAATTGTTCTTTTACAGTGAATCGTGTGCAAATTCATAACCCTGTACATAACCTCAAAACTGATGTTATCAGATTCATTTGTTAGACTTATATGTGCCTGCTATTTATTCTGCAATGACAAGTATCTATAGATATTCTAATGAAAAGGACGAATTTTATGTTTGAGCACTACCGAATAATTTCATTCTAACTTAAATTCTAAGAAATGAAGAGATTGTTTTTATTAACTGTAGCATTTATATTACTTATATGTATCAGTTAAGTTATTTAAGATGCTTCAATTTTTTAAACAGATTGATAGGTTTGATGGATTACCAAATATGCTTTGTGCAAAGTGTGCTTATCGCACAGATGCATTTTACAGCTTTAAGCTGCAAGTCCAAGCTACTGAAAAGAAACTTCGTAAAATGTTTGAAACCCAAATCCGTTATAACATAAAGGTAAGATGTTTGCTATATTATGTAATTAAGTCTCTTAAAATGTAATTTCCCTGTTCATGACTTTAATACTACCCTACTTCAATCATGAATTAATACTTTGTTAATGCATCTGTACTGATATAGTAATGTTATTAAGTATATTGACTTAATTTTGTTTTGCTTCCTAATCTAAATACTATCCATTGATGTACCAGATCATAGACTTCCAAATTGTGGATTGTATTGTAAACTAATGTATCTGTTTATTAGTAGTGTAAACTAATAGTAGACTAATTGATGAAGTAGTGTAAACTGTAGTAGACTAATTGATGAACAATTACTAATTGAGTAATTTATATTTGGTTCTAAATAATTACACAATCAAAAAAATTAATTATATTGTTTAAACTATTGTTGTTTCAGTCAATATGGTCAATTTACCAAAAACTTTATCCAAAACTTTATCAAAAATAATGTAGGTTTATATTAGGAGCAGAATTTATTTCATTAGTAAAAATTCTTATATTTTTGCAGTACTTCATATGCAATACTTCATATGTTTTCTTTCCAAAGCGAAAAACAATTATTTTACTAATTACTAGAAATATTCGTAATTGTTCATTTACGATATTTTTAAAAACTTGTTTCGTTCTCATCCTTCTCATCTTCGTTCGTTTGATGGTATTAGATCAACTTGACACATTTAGCGTTACATCATTAATAATAGTTATTAAATTATCTAGAAAAATGTAGAATCAAGTATAAAAATATTCGTCAAGTGTAAGAAAATCAGGAAGCAAGTAATGTGGAAGCATTCTCATCATTCTCAACTTGTTGCTATTGCTTTTCAGGAGGAGCCAATGGGCAATGACTTTGAACAGGCTGGCTCAGAACAATCGGACGAATTATTAGAAATGAAATTAGTAGGTAACAAAGAAGTTATTAAGTCTACCAATGGTACAGATAATTCCGAAGAATTTTTACCTGAGCGAATCAACGTAAACTACAAAGAAGAGCAATCTCTAGACCTCGATGTATCCGAATTTGTAGAAGAGAACGGCGAATTTAATAAGGCTGGCATATCCGAGTTGAAAGGTATTATTATTTCAAAGTTATCAGGAGCGGAGCTCAATCAAGATAAACGACTGAAAGGCGAGATACCTGACGAGATCTCAAAAATTTTGGAATCCCAGCAGTTAGATTATACGATAATGTATATACCAGAAGATGTTTCTTTGGAGCATGTGGAGCATGTGGAGCATGTGAATACCGATAGTACGTTTTCTTGCGATGCTGTGATTAAATTAGAGAGTAACAAAAAGATTGTCGAGGCTGACTGTAATGGGGAACTTTTACGCGAGACGGTGGACAACGAGGAATTTTTAAATGTGTCTAATGAGAAAGCTGCGGGAACGAAGAAGGAGGATAATAAAACAAACAGCGACGAGGCAGCTTGGAAATCTACAATTCCAGAGGAAAAGTCGAAAGAAAGGGTAAATGGGAGAAACAAGCAAAAAGTTTCGTCAGAATCGAGTCAACAACTAGAAGAGAGCGACGATTCCGATTCCGATTATTTCGTTGACCCCAAAGATAACATACTAGGTAGCTTGAACGATACAATAACAAGAATAAAGGAGATAAAACTCGAAGATGACGTGATACAGTATCAATGCACTCTATGTTTGCAAAATTATGATAAATTAACTGGTGTCTTGTTGCATACCATAGACAATCACGTACCGAGTAGCGGCCCATTCTTTTGCGTGGTATGCGAGAAAGACTGCGAGAGTCACAGAGAATTGCGTGCGCACGTTAAGACGCATACAGGCCAGTTCCCTTACTCTTGTTTCATATGCAACAAAGCGTATACGATGAAGAGGTACCTAAAGAGACACATGGTGTGCCACACAGACTTTCCTAGGCATCGGTGTCCGAAATGCGGCCTCAGATTCAAAATTAAGTCAGAGCTGGAAACCCACGTCACAACGCATATACGCGGTGCGCCTTATGCTTGTAGTCAATGTCCACGATTATTCAATCACAAAGGTAATTATAAGCGGCATTTGATTACTCATTTGGATCCGCAAGGTCTTCATTTACCCAAGTATCCCTGTAAAGTTTGCGGGAAGAGATTTTTGAATAATCGCACTTTGGAAACACATATGCGCGTACACACCGGCGAGAAACCGTTTAAATGCGAGATATGTGAACGATCGTTCTCGCAACAAGGGAATTTGCTGAACCATGTAAGAATTCACTCGAATCCGCGTTGTTACACGTGCGAGGTTTGCGGGAAACGATTCAACCAAAGAGCTACTTTGAGAGATCATAGTCTCTTACATACTGGGGAAAAGCCATACGTTTGTAATGTTTGCGGAATAGCGTTTACATTTAGCGCCGCGTTGAGACGTCACATGTGGACTCACACTGGTGGAAAACCATTTGGATGTGAAATCTGTAGTGCTCGTTTCGTTGGAAAATATGATTTGCGACGACATATGAGGATACACACAGATAGACCAAAGACGAAACGAAGAAAAAACGTAATTAAGTCGAACAATGACCAGGAAGAAGTGAAAGAAGAAAATATAGAGGAGGATGTTCCAGTTTCAGAACACCCTGATACAGAGACCGTTTTGATAGAACAGGTTTTGTTAACGCAGAACGCAACACAAGTTGCACAACAAGAATCTGAGAAGGAAAATGTTGATGCTCTTTTTAATCTTATACAATATGGCTAATAAAGCCTCTTATTTTTATCATACTTATATCACATAAATATTAGGTCCAATTTTCTTAATTTACACTAACTTTATCACAAATATTATCTAAAAGATATTAAAAGATACACCTCAAAATTGTACATAACATGTACTTTGAAAGAAACAATGAAAGAAACCAGTTTTATATAATGAGAATGCTATATTATTATATTTTAAAAGAAGATATTTTTGTGAAATAAATATATACTATCTACAAAACGTTAACAATGAATATTTATGATTCTGATAGAATTTTATAAATTTGCAAATGGAAAGTAAAAGACGTGCTATTTGTGATTTGTATTTATAACGCTATGAAGTGTATCTTTGAAATTTTCTTAATTTCACGAATATTATTTGTTTATTTACATATAATAACAAAAATATTTAAATTTCATGAACGACTAGATAAACTTTAAATATACTCATAATGATATCAATGAATTATACATTTGAATATATTTATTGTTTATGTTCATAATTTTGTAAAATAAATGTATTACCATATTAGTTTATAGAAGTAAGACAGCGAAACTGTTTTAAAATTATTATTAACTAGGAGTAAATGCAGTATGAATGCAAAATGTTGTATATAAAATAATAGCATTGTATTATATTATTTATTAATATTAGGTGTAGTATAAAATATAATATATAAAAAATGTACTTTGCAATACCAAAATTTCATTTAATTAGAAAGATTAGATAAAATTTACGTGATTCTTTTATCGAAATAGGTACATACAGTTATATAGTATATGTAATGAAAGTAATTACGAAAACCTAAATGATACATAAGTATATCAAACAAGAAATTTACTATAATGAAGCTTTTTGACTCTATTTTTTTATATAAATTTATCATTTTTTAAAAAGTTAATATTTTCAATAGCTATATCATAATTGATGAAAACTGAATATTATTAAATAAAATAAGCTGAATTTAATGAAATTCATATGTAATTACATAACATAATTACATTATATAATTTGAAAATAATTTCTAACCTACATATGATTCTTCTAATTATAATTTTGTAAAAGACTGTGGATGTTTTAGATAAATATAATTTTGTTAATTTTAAATACTAAAGATGGGATTAGTAACGAATGTCAGTTATTGTACTTATTGTATTTTTTTTTAATTCGTATAAGAATTTTTAAGTTTAATCTACACATGCAGATATAATCTAAAACATTTGCACATGTCCAGTAGTGATAGATGCTATTTATATTTAAAAGAATAAATAAATTGATTTAAGATTAATATGTACTGAAATGTTTTAAAGATAATAAGTATTATATTTTGAATTGTGTATAAGATTCCTTTCTTTAAAAAAGACATTTTTATGTTTGGTTGAAAGGGTATTTTGTATTATTTTTATAATTATGTAAATTAATACAGAATGAGTATTTGAGAATTGCAAACATTGTATACACTATGTACATAATTTTGTAGCACAGTATATTTCAAAACATATAATTTACAAATTTATAACTTCATGTAAGAAGATACTGAATAATAATAATAGAAAAGAGATTTGCAAGTAAAGAAATATCATTATGCATTTGTAAAAATGTATATCATAAGTTCAAATTGGAATTATTTTATATAGTATTAAATTGAAATTTTCTTTTCATGATATTAATCAATATTAGAATATGATTTTAATGTTTCAATGTTCTGTTAAAAACATTTGAGTGCAAAATAAATAATTGTGTAATTGTATATATATTTTATATTTTTTAATTATTTTCTAATTTTGATGCTATCGAGTTATGGAATATAATTCTCCTTATAGATTCTATTCATAAGAGTTTGAGCTTTATAACTTTTAAATATTTACATTACATTTTTTTAATAACAAACGTTATCTTTACTATTTGAAATTTGCATACTTTTATTGAACATTATTCACTATTTTATTATTATTGCTCTATACAAGTAATTGTATTTTAAAATTTGACATAAATTATTAAAAATATAAGTAATGTTTAGAAATTATGTTGAAATAATGAAATAAAAGTTATTTTTCCATCTGTGTTATCAATATTCGACTGTTGATTAGAGATAGAATAAATATCACATTATATGCGAATATACGAAATATATGAAAACACACTGACCTTGAAAAAAATAGGGTTGCTTCTTACGTTTCTCGTGACTTTCTACGGTGAGTGTAAGAATTATATCCAATTCAGTCAGTAGCATTGTCTTTACGAAACGATTGAGTGATGATTTCAAACAGTACCTATAATTCGTTGAATACATTTGTTGAATTTGTTGAATTTTGTTGAATACAACAATGATTTTGAGAAGTAGAATTACTTACACACAAAGAAGTATTTCTTCATTATGTACCACCAAACTAAATGATATAAATTTATTAAATTAATGTAAGTCACAGTTAAGTTTAACGAATCGTACTGAACGCGCGCGCACTACTTTTCAAATAAAGATTGCAGCGCCATTGCAGCGGTGAAGTCTGGAAATTAGTTCCTGCGATTCTCGAAGGTAATCAATATATATGTATGTAACGTAACACGTCAGTTAAGACAGGAAGCATAGCTGTAGTATTGCTTTATTACGTATTATAAAATTAAATAATGTATTAAATTTATTAAATTGATACGAATTAAAATTGAGTTAAATAAATTGTATGAAACGCGCGCGTACTACTTTTCAAATAAAGATTGCAGCGCCATTGGAGTGGCGAAATCTGGAAGTTAGTTATTGCGATTCTCGAACGTAAGCAATATATATATCTAGCGTAAAAATCAGTTCCAAACGGAAAGTACAGCGGAAGTGTTGCTTCATTACGTATTATTAAATTGGATCATTTAAATTCAATAAATTAGTTCAAATTATTGTTCAGATAAATAAATTGTACGAAACGCGCGCGTTTTGACTTCAAATAAGGATTATTAGTGTCAATAGAACAATAAAATATACAAATTAGACAGTGTGAAATTCTCGAACGTAATTTCGATATATATATGTATGCAACGTAACGTGTCAGTTTTAGACAGGAAGCACAGCGTAAGTATTGCATCATTATGTATTATGAAAGTAAATAATTTAAATTTATTAAATTAATGTAAATTAAAGTTGAGTTAAATAAATTGTATGTAACGCGCATACGCTACTTTTCAAATAACGATTGCAGCGCCTTTGGAGTGGCGAAATCAGGATTGATTTCTAAGCGGGAAGAATGGCGGAAAGAAGCTTTACACCTCATTTGTAAAGAAAGAAATATTATCCAAAAGAATCATCCAGAAATTCTCAGGTAAAGATTTAAATCAATAATTATTGGATTTATGTTATGTTTTTCAGATAAAACATGCATTTTTGGCTTCAGTTTAAGGTAAAATTTAACCAAATAATTATTGCATATAATTTTTAACAATTAAAGAAATAATATATTAAGTATATAAAGGTTTTAAACAGAATATATCGTGCAAAAATTATTTATAATTTTATATCAAAATTTAATTTCAATTCTAACCAATGAAAATACCGTAACCTTGTAATATGACTAACCATTTATTATATATATATATAATATTATATAAAATATATATATAATATGCTCTATTGTAACATTTTCTACTCATTTGTTGATTCTTTAACCTCATATTGCGTAATTATTAACAATTCCAATACTAAATTCAACAATAATTTAGTAAAGATGTATGTATTTAATAACCTAAATAATTCTACTGCGTAATACAATAAAATTTCTCATGTCCCAGTTTAAAGTATTGACAATTTTTCATCAGGTATGTGAATTTTCATTCTTTTTAAAGAATTTCTTATGTATTTTAAATATTTGATTTAGATCAGAGTTTTTTATTTTTTATTTCGTGCGATTACAACGCCCCAACGGTGAAATATGTAATATACTTCCTACGATTCTCGAAATAATCGATATTTCTCATGATCGAACTGGAAAGTGGCGGTTAAAAATGGCGGAGAGCAGCACACCTCTTATCCAGAAAAATCATCCAGAAAGAAATGTTCCAGAAGTTCTCAGGTAAAAATTTAAATCAGTAGTTGTTAGATTTGTGTTTATGTTATTAATTTTTAATATAAAATGTGTATTTTTGGTTTTAATTCAAGGTAAGATTTAATCAAATAATTATTGCATATAATTTTCAATAATTCAAGAAATAATAGCATATAGGTAAGATTTAACCAAATAATTATTGCATATAATTTTCAATAATTCAAGAAATAATAGCATATAAACATTTAAACAGAACAAATCATGCTAAAAGTTATTTATAATTTTATAACAAAATTTAATATCAATTCTAACGGTACAAATATTGTAATCTTGTAATATGACTATATATACATATATATAATATGCTTTTACTTCTATTGTAACATTTTTTATTTATTTATCGATTTTTTAACTTCATACTGTGCAATTCTTAGCAATTATAATACTAAATTAAACAACAACTTATTAAGTATGTACGAATTTAATAGTTAAAATAATAAATTTATTGTGTAATATAATAACATTTTTCATTTCTAAAATAAAGTAAAACGTAGAAGGTCTAAAGAAATAAAACGAGCACAATGTTTATGTTTGTCTTTATTATCGTGCCTTTTCGGACAGGATCACTTCATTCTCTTCTACTTTCTCAATTGCTGGACGAGACGTGACGCGGAGAATCTTTCGGCTATCGAATTTCACAACAACAACAACAACGTGTATTACGTCGCACTAAGTTTGTGAATTTTTCTAACCTCTCGGTGGCGTCCCTTCGATGGCGTCGCTTCTTTGACAATCTTTTGCTTCCATTTACATCTCATTAATAGTATCATTTAATTAGTACGCATTTAATTAATAGTATCATTTAATTAGTACGTGTTTGACGATTCATTGAGCATCAAGATAACGAAATTGAGTAAGATTTTGAACTTTTTCGTGCTGATTTTTCTTCGATCATCGATTTCACTATTACTGGTACCTCGTCTCGTACGTCTTTTTAATAAAATTTGAAGTTGATTATCATTTCACTTTTACATATTTGCCTTCATTTGACATATTTGTGTTCTAACTTTTGGTTTCTTTTTGTGTAGGTTATTCCCCCCTAGATTGTAAAGAGTATAGGATACATAGACGCCACGATTATTAATAAACAATCTGATGAACTTTCACTGAAATTTGGTAACATTATATTCATTTTAGGTAACATTTGTTATAAATATTTGAAATACAATTCACAATATGTAATTTTATAATTATATGGGATACAAGGATGAAAATGAAAAATAGAAAATGGAAAAAATTAAATCAATTTATATTTTATTTCGAATATAGAGATCGTAGTATATGTATTTAGTAATGGTATATATTTTTAAAAGAATATATATTCTTGTATTAGATTATTAAATTCAAAGTTTTTGTACTTTACTATATCATACTTTGCTACAATATATTTTTTCCGAGCGCTGACACGCAATTAAACGATTCAGAGCAAGATTTCACACGTGTATGATTTTTTAAATACATTTTGATTTGTACAAACAGTTTCGAATATTTATAATACACGATAGTATATTACCAATGTGCATACTTTACTTTAATAACGAACATTCAGAATACAATTTCTATAAATATTGAGAAACTTTATAATTTCTAACTAATATCTTTAATGCACACTCAAATTATTTTCTAGAAAAATAGCAATATTTTCTAAATGAATGTACTTTATTTTCAGAAAATTTTTGTGACCGCATGCAATGCGGTGGATAGAGTCGGTGTTTGTTGCGAAATATTTTTATATTTTTCTGAGCAAAATGGCTCTTGTTAAATTAAATTATTAATTGATTTAAATTATAATTCGCGAAGTTGGAGTCAGTGAGTTTGCCGATTGTTATTTAAACGCACGCGTTGATAGTCTTTTATTTTTCTTTTTTCATATTTTTCGTGTTCAATACTTGTTTTTGCTATTAGAGTCAGTGCTCAAGAGGATAAGGCCTCTCCAGGAAATCAAGATCGTAAGCAGTTTTATATATTGTACTTCAGTTTATTCAATTTTTTAAATTTAACAACAATGTATAATGTTTGACGTTTTGTTACAGACACTTCACAACAGCAACAATTTTTTTGTATTTTTTGGGGAAAATCCAACGGTGGCTCTAAAGCCAGAAATGTAAGAATCTTTCATTATCTCCAACTTAAGATTCTGCTTTACTTTTAAACATATATTTTGATTTTACAAGTAATTACTATAACTATTCTAATATTGAATGTTTTATTACAGATTTTCTACACTCTCTACTTCCCCTAATCTTCTAAGGATCTTACGATGTTTCAAAAGTTAAAAATGTAAGTACTTCAGCTTGTAATTGAATTCTATTCTCTGTAGTTTCTATTGAAGTCTAATGTAAAATTATAATTATAAAATAAAAATAATTCATGTTATTAGCCCCAATTTTTATCATTATTAAAATTTAAATTTTAACAAATAAAACTGTGTCTTTAGAAACAAAATGTTTGATGATTTACAGAATATTTTTCACGGCGTTCACTTCCACCATGAGATTCTCAGTGGTATCTATTTGATGAGGATCTTCACGATAACTTTTCCTGGTCCAGTGCAGCATTGATGATAACGTTCTTCACATCTATCGCGTGAGTCGCATGCATTTATGTTCCTCCGGTCACTCAATCATGTCGTAGGATGAAAGGTCCGAATCGGCACGGGTGACTGGTTGTATATGTAGAATTTTTGATGAGCATAGTGAGCGGGTATTTTTTATACCTATGAGTAGTAACATCTTTTTCAAATTTTTTATATATTAGATCAGGATAGGGCTTCTTGCACATTGCGATTCTAACAATTAGTTTGAATATATAAAGTTATAGTAATTACTTGTAAAATCAAAATATATTCAGTATAAATGTTTGCAAATGCAAAATATCCATATGAATAGACAAATTGTAAATGATACTCATTAAAATGAGTTGGTTTAAACATTTCGTAGCAGAGAAGACGGATACCATCCGACTTCGTTGCTATGAAAGATGCAGTTATTATTTATTGATATACTGGTTTATTTATTGATTATTATTTATTGATATATTGATAATATATTTTGTTATAGTAATTGATAATTAATAATTGATGTAATAATTAATAATTTCCAACTTCATTTTCCATTTTATAATATATAACTTCTTATGTTAAATGATTCAATTAATTTAATTTTATAATTATGAATTTCAGTGCAATTTGAAATATATAATAGATTAGAATTCCTTCCGTAGAAAAATATATGAAATTATAGTGTATGAATATATTTTATGTGCAAGAAGATACTTCGCGACAGGTAGATTTTTGAATCAAAGCAACAAGTTTAAACACTGCTTTCGTATTTTCGAAAATGTGCTTTGATGAAGAAAGCCTGACATTGTTTCTATTAATATTTAATTTAGAGTCAATTGTTTGATTTAGATTGTTTTAGTCATATCTTTTTTAATAAATTCAATTCTTTGTTTTTATTCTCTTACAATTTGAATAACTGCTGAAAGAGTAGAGTCATTACAGTTTGAAATAAAAAAATGTAATAGTTCGTTAGATACAAATTACATAAACTAATCATTTTTTTAGTTCAGGATTTTCAGGTTTAACCCCTTCCGTGTTCATTGTCAGGATCTCACTCACGTGCCCAGGTGCTACTTGAGTGGGTGAAAGACATTGGGCACGATGACCGTAGCCTGTAATTTTCTAAAAAATTTCTCAGCGACTGACAATGTGTTAGTGTATCGTGCACGACGTATTTTCCGCATATGTGTGTGTGGATAGGATGTGGAATTGCGTCGTTTTTATTGTTCCATTCATTATAAGTTGAAATATTAAAAACATTTATGCACTGATTTGAAGTATGAATTTATTATATAATAATACTCATTAAATACACTATGATTATGTTATTAATTATACGTTCAGTTATAATAATGATTCCAAGTCAATTTGCAATGTAATTTCTATAGAAATTATATATGAGTTATTAATATTAGCTGTAAATATAAAGCAGTTTTAATCACGTTTTACGCAATGGTCGCTAGCTATTGTCAGTCGATTTCAGGAAATGGTACGTAAATTAGAGTGTGAAAGTTGTGCGTTAAGCTTGGGTGTCGGAGGCGTCCCGGGACGTTCTCTCTAGTTTAGGTCTGCGCCCGAGTGGTATGAGTGAGAACCGTGGAATAAGTGTGTTGGTATGCCTGTCTTTTGCCATTTTTTTAAATATAGGGTCCCTGAATAGGATAGGTAGCATATTTTCTGGTGTGAATGTGTTTAATTATAAGTAGGTAGGGCCGGGCAGGTTGGCACAGTCTCTGGTCGCGTGTCCCTTTTCGCGTGTCCAACCTGTTTCAGGAAATCTAATTTGAAAAATCGACAGTGAAATTGGTACAAATTGAGCATGGCATTTGTTTCTGGTTTTACTCTTCGATTTTTCGAATTTAGTATCGCGGCCGCGGTCGCGGATAGGTCGCGAGAGTAGGTCCCGAAACGAACGTTTATGTAGGTATTGCTCGAGCACGCACGTGCGAACGGACAACGATCATTATGATCGATGNACCTGTTTCTGGAAATCTAATTTGAAAAATCGACAGTGAAATTGGTACAAATTGAGCATGCCATTTGTTTCTGGTTTTGCTTTTCGATTTTTCGAATTTAGTATCGCGATCGCGGTCGCGAATAGGTCGCGAGTAGGTCCCGAAACGAACGTTTATATAGGTATTGCTCGAGCACGCACGTGCGAACGGACAGCGATTACTATGATCGATGGTCGTCCACGTGTATTGGGGTCAGCTTTCGTGGTTTATCTTTTCATTTCACCTTTATAAGTTATTTTTTGGTTTGCGACTAGAAAGACTCGAGCTAGATGTAAGTTTCAGCGGGCATTGCGCTCGAAGAAAGAAAAGGCTAAAAGCCGAAGAGGCCCGGCAAACTGCCACGAAGAGGGTCACAACAAATGGTTTCTCATCCTCTGGATCATTTAAATGATTCCAGAGCATGGGAGGTCATTCTCGTTACTACTTTGTCACTATGCTCTTAGTATTTGTAGTTGTATATTTTTTTCTTCTCCATCATCGTTCATCATCGTTTTGGGCAAATCGCGATTTTTCTTGTTAGTGTTGCGAAAGATCGATTACGGATTGAATTAGAGTTGCGAAATAATTTCGCACCTGTTTATTAGTGTTGCGAGAAATTGATTACGGTTTAAATTAGAGTTACGAAGAAATGATAATCGTGTTTACTTTAGAGTTGCGAATTATGATACCGCGATTGTCTTTTGCAACTTTAATTGATAATTTATATAGTTGTAGTGTTATACATATTAAAATTTATCTTGCTCCCTATTGTTTTACATTAGATTATAGAGTCATTGCTGTCAGTTAATTTTAGACTAGAATATTTGAAGTAGCTTTTTGTTCGTACAGTAGCTTTTGTGCTGTTAACAATATTTTTCATTAAATTTGGAGTTAGTGTTGCGATAATGAATTGTCGCGTTTCCTGAAGTAGCGTTGCGTTTACAAAATGCCCAAATTCTTCCACTGGATTTGTGGAAGGCTTTTCCTATTTTCCTTGGATCACCTGATGCTGCCACAATAGCTGTTATTATCATCAGCAACTTCCAGCATGGTTGCATTGGACGCGTCGCAATTAGTGTCGCGCATTTTTAAACATGAGTGCATAGATTAATAGCGTTGCGTACTTACTTACTTATTTTCGGGAGTTTTGAACATGCTGAAGCACTCTTCGCGTTTGATTTTGAAACTTTCCTATTTCAGAATTAGTGCTAGTGAATTAGTGTTGCGAAACAAAATACGGTTTGTTGCTCGGGTTCGTAATGTAGATAATAGCTCTTCTGGTTATTGCATTGTTGAGTGGGACATATTTGTTTATTTAGTAGCCCTTCTGGCTATTGTGTCACGTTTTTCTTTTCAATAGTCCTTCTGACTTGCTTTCCTGTTTTTCCAAATGTTCGAGTTTGTTTTAGTGATGTGGAATTTTTGTGTTAAGTTTTTTAAACTAATAATCCAACAAATAAGTTTGTTACAGATTTATCAACTTCCAAATGGATGGAGAGAAGGTGGAGTAACATGGACTATGGAATTTAGAAAGAATGATGCCTGGGTCCTAGCTAAACTAATGGTAATTAAATATTTCTTATTAAATTTATTGCGTAAATCTTTTTGACGTCAACAAATGAAGATTGTACGTGGAATGCACTAAATATAGAAAATTCTATAAATTCTATAAACTATGAATTCTCTAGACTAATGAAATATCTATAACAGAATGTTCATTACAAGATTTAATGACTGAATTAATACGAGTTGTATTTCACATATTTCACGCGAAATTGTATATTTTTCCTACAAAAATATTTCAAACAATCTTGGATTGATTATTTCTTCAACGATTATATTTGTAAATTAGAGGGTTGTTCTTTTTTCTTTTTTTCTAATTTCTCTCATATTATATCGTACTTTTAATAAAATTTATTTGAGCTGATAGGTTCTTTAGTTTTTTATTAGTAACTTTAAATTTTTAATTTTTTGCACGAAAAAGACTATCGTGTTACCTTAAAACGTGGATAGAATTCTTCTGTTTATGTAATTCTGATATACAGTGAAATAATTTCAGTTAATTATTACTAGCTTTCGGTATTAAAAATTTGACAACACTATAATGGATTTCATGGTTCTGGTGCTGTTACCACTTGATCAACTTGGATCGTTTGCTTGATGTAGTTCTTCAATTCACCGTTTAGAGTGCGCTAAAATCTATTGCTTTTTTTCTACTATGTTGGTATTTCAGAGCAGAGTACACAAAGTCTCATAAGATGCAGTGTTTATTCATATTTCGTCTGTGATCACACGATTCCAACAATGCGTGATTTTACCTCGAGTAATTAGTGATGTGTCATTAGTATGGTCTATTTTATTTGTTTCCAATTTGAATCTATCCGCTAAATGGCGAGAATTCGGCATCTCTTAAATATGCTGTAAAACTAGTTCTACAATTTCACCGCTACACGGCGCTAGTGTATCCATAAATCGAAGAAATTTTCATTTGCAAAAAAGATTAATTAAAAGATTAATTTGTGAACTTTTACATGGTTCTAATTAGGACTCCAGTGTATCGTTGTATCGTTGAACCGGGAAGTGTTTTTTGCAAAAATTTATCAATTTTTTAGATAAATGAACGCCATACCGATATTTACTATAAATTTAATGCAATTTATATTGTACGTAATTAATTTAGAAGCTTTTTGAGTTTGTAAAGTAAAGAATAAAAAAATAGTTGCAATTATTTAAAATTAAACATTCTGTTAGACATGTAATATTTTTTGCAAGTCTAGACTTTATTTTACGATTCTAAAAGTGTACGATTATATTCCAGGAAAGGGGTATAATTACATCCGAAATCTAAAATTTAAATTACTATTCAATTATGTTAAGATCCAGAATATGAAATAGTAACATCAATAACCTTAACATCCAGTATACCTAATTCATACTGTTCTTAAAAAAATTATTATATACGTAGTTAGAATTCCATAATTCAGAATTTCTAAATTCCACAAGTTCAGTGTTTCCACAATTCATAATTTCCGTAATACAAAATTTCTCACAATTTGTAAGAAAACTTTTCAAAACTGTCGTATTCTCAACAATCCAACTGCGTCAAGATGCAAAGCTTCAAACGAGAGCGTCGCTGTGATAGATGGATCGCATGTCGATCGTTCTTATTGGCAGGAGAGACCCATTAAATCCCGTGGGTCCTATACATATATACACAGACTCGCGTTTTGCAGTCACAGGAGGCTGTGGAAAACGCGAGCAACAGAGAATCCCCTTTAAGTGAACACGCACGAAAGACGGAGGAGACGTGATAGAAAACTGAGAGGAAAGGGAGGAAGAGAGAACAAGAGAGAAAGGGAGAAAGATTGAAAAGAACGTAGTTCTTGGCTTCATTCTCGAAGAGAAACCCTTCAAGAGCTTGGCCCGCAGTTAATTGCTAGCATTTAATGAGCGCTCTTTGACGCGCCGCGCGAACCGCCGTTGTAACACTCGTAATGGCCGGTGCTTTTCTGACCATTCTTCTCTCTCTCTCTCTCTTCTCTCTTCTCTCCGTTCGCGTGTTGTGTACCAGTTCTCTTCAGACCTGCCAATGTGCGTTTCTCTTAAGCTTGTACACTAGCATATACAGGCGGCTGGTAAATGAAAATGGCTGCGTATTATCAAGCCACGTTCGTGTAATGTACCTTGGTATTGGTCTGGTGCATAGGTGGATGCCGAGCCACCGACGAAAACCACTTTAACGATTGAGATATTAACCGGCCCACGGAGGAAAAAAGAACGATGGATCATGGAACAAGTAAGTAAGTAGTTTCTACTTACTGTTCCGACGATCCCGCGAGCAGCGAGTGATATCGAATGATGATCTCTTCGTAGTAGTTTACGTCTTTTTAAACATTTGATGGTTTATAGGCACAGGCCTGATGGAACGTCTTAAAGTGTCAAAATAAATGATAATTTCCTTGAAAAAAAGTTATTTCATCTACAGCATAATACTGTTATATAGTTTCACTGTACTATATAATTTCCTCGAAGTTAATTATATTCGGTATTGGAACCTAAGCCTAATCTACACATACTATATATAATATTGTATTTTGTTATACATAATATTATCATATTAGATTAATTTGTTTCGTCGAAAATTTGAAGGAAAACTATATCTGAAAACTTCTCGTAAATGTATCTATTCACACAGCGAGTGTATTGTTAAAGATCCACAGAATCGCACACAGTGTGAAATTTCAAAATCTTCCGTGTTAACGCACGTATAGTGATCTTCGTACAGAAATTTCTCACAAATGCAACCACGTTGTACAGAGTGAGTATATTGTCGAAGATCTGCAAAGTCGCTATTAATTACACGGTACAACGTCGGCGGTTCTCCCTGAACGTGAACACAGCTAAAGCGTGATCCGCGAACGTTTTGAATTCATCTGCCGAGGGATTTAATCCTTGACCAGCTATCGCCCTGTTTACAGGGAACGCAGGCATCCACCTATAGGGATAGCACGTGTCGTGATTGTAGTTTATGGGGAGCTGATTGCAGCAGCGTGGGACGAGTACAAGATTGTGGATGGGCCGAGTTGCCAGGCCGCGTCGCCATTCACTTACTTACGTAGATCCCAAGCATCGTGTCAGTGTTTCGTTTCGTAATCATTAAGATATGCATTATTCCTCTAATGACGAGCAGCCGTGCGCAGCAACAGCGTGTCCGATCGCGGACTCCGCGCTTCGTTCCCCGCTTCTTCCAGAGGGTACATAAATTTCACGTAAAACGCCTGTACACGAGCCCCAGCCTCTTTCTCGTATCTTGATTCAAGTGAAACTGTGGCCGCGTCCAGATTCTGCAGATTAATTGGTTCGGCCACCACCTCTTAGTTTTGCACTCGTTTCAATTCTCATTTTTCCGCTAGAACTTACTCTGCACCTCTGTGAAATTGAATTGACGGGCGATAATTGGATTATACGAGATGAAAGATGGATGATTGAGATCTTTGAAGGATTTTTTTTTTGAATCATTTTATCATAATGGTGACTTTTTTTAGTTTATCTATGTATACGTATGATTTGTGGTATAATATGGGACCATCTACGATTTCTCGTGATTGATAAATTTTGTCGAATTGGTCCGATGAATTTTCAAATTTATTTCAAAAGTAGAGCATCTTATGATACAGTTATATTCTACATTTTTAACTTATGCACGGAATATTTTTATTGTCTGTAATATTACTTTACAAGTGAAAAGTAAGTTTTATCATTAAAGATGTCTTCGAGAAAAATTTGTCAACTTGGGCTTTAATAATTTTAGATTCACGTAGCAGTGAATAACTGACGCGTGATGAAAGCAAATTGAAATTATAGGATATAATTTTTTTACGTCTGAGAGAGATAAAAAGGAAATTCTGCAACTATATTTTGCAAATAATCTCGAACTTTCGATAAACTATGCGATAGTCAGTATCGAGGCAAAAATATAATTTAGTTGAATGTCAAGCAGTCAGAATGAAACCCTCAGGAGTAAGTTCCATCACCAGTGAACAGAGATCTTTCAATTCCGAAAACACGGTCCCAAGAGTGATTCTCAAAGACAGCCTTGAATCTAGAATCTGACCACAGACTTTTAGGTATAGTCGAGATGATCAATCGGTCTATCGGGAGTGATTCGCCAGAAATTCTCAAGAAAATGTCTAAAATCTATATCTTGTAAATTCATGTAAAACCGGATGAATATAAGGAAATATATATTCCAGTAAAATTTATATTTACCAAGTACATATGTAATTACTTATATAAAAATGTATTTGTTTCGTGGATAATAAATGGGATATTTAAAACTCGTGAATTTCATATTTTTCCATTTCGATTAAATGGATAAGAAATGATTCTGTGATGTAGCGTAAATGATTTAGTAAGAAAATTATATAAGTAGTTAAAAATATTATAGAATGTAATAAAGTTTTGTGAGATGTTAGGCTTCAGAAAACTCTATCGTTGTTCTTAAATTCTTATGTCTGAAAGGATTGTTAATTCCTTAGAGAGAAATCTCAACATAATATTTGAAGTAGACAATTGTCCCCTCCTACTTGTATTAAGATCAAGTTTTCCATACTTCCTACAAGCTAAGGAGATTTTTTCGTATGAGAAAAATATGGTTATCTCTCAAATGATAGGTATATTGTTAGTTTATAAATGTCTGTGTTAGATTACTAAAATTTTGGATATTTAATTTTACTTGTCTGTATTAAGTCAAATTAGGAATTCCAAAATTAAGTAATGTAAAATCTAAATTTTTATGGCTTCCGATGTTCAGTTAAAAGATCAAGTGAAAAATGATGAAACAAACGAAAGCGAGTGAAAATAAATCCTTAAGCCGAAAATGACTCGAATAAAAATGTCAATTATAAAATTTTATTTTTTTTTATGATGTACCTATTATTTACTAAATGAATATACTAATTCACAGTTTTCAAAACATCTCGCCAAGTCGTCTCCAAAAATATTTCACCGAAATGTTTCAATTCACGCGAGATACAGGGCGCACGATCTACCCAAGCGACTTTT